ATTCAGATTTGTTGGTTCACCAGATTCAGGGAGAATGGGAAACTCGGGACCTGAAGCTCATACCATATCGGCAGTGTTTGCATAATCTTTATCAGCGATTCAGCTCAGTGGAATTCAGGCATATTCCCAAGGTTTATAATGAGATTGATGATGCATTGGCTACTCTGGCGTCGATGTTGCACCATCCAGATAAGACTTACGTTGACCCTTTGCATATCCAAGTTCGTGATCAGCATGCTTACTGCAATGTGGTTGAAGAGGAACTTGATGGTGAACCTTGGTTTCATGATATCAAGGAATACATCAAGTCCGGGGTATATCCGGTACATGCCACATGTCACCAAAAGAGATCCCTTCGATGTCTGGCTAGTGGATTTTTCTTAAGTGGGGGAATCTTGTACAAGAGGACTCCAGGCCTAGGACTACTGAGGTGCGTAGATGCTAAAGAAGCTTCAACTATCATGACTGAAGTTCACTCCAGAGTTTGCAGGCTACATATGAATGGGTATGTCTTGGTAAAGAAGATACTTCGAGTAGGTTATTATTGGCTCACCTTGGAACGATATTGCATCAGCTTTGTTCACAAGTGTCATCATGCCAGGTGCACAGTGATTTGATTCATTCTCCGCCATCTGAGTTACACATAATGTCTGCACCTTGGCCCTTTGTTGCTTGGAGCATGGATGTCATTGGACCAATTAAGCCAGTAGCATCGAACGGGCATAAGTTTATTCTGGTGTCCATTGATTACTTTACCAAGTGGGTCGAAGCTGTAACTTTTAAGCCTGTGACCAAGAAGGCAGTGGTAGATTTTGTTCATTCAAACATCATTTGCTGGTTCGGAATTCCCAAGGTAATCATCATAGACAATGCTGCTAATCTCACTAGTCATTTGATGAAAGAGGTATGCCAACAGTTCAAGATTATGCATCGAAACTCCACTCCGTATCATCTTAAGGAAAATGGAGCTGTTGAAGCTACTAACAAGAACATAAAGAAGATACTTCGTAAGATGGTGCAAGGTTCTAGGCAATAGCATGAAAAGTTGCCTTTTTCTTTATTGGGTTATTGCACTACTTTTCGCACTTCAGTAGGTGCAACTCCTTATTTGCTGGTATATGGAACCGAGGCAATCATACCTGCGGAAGTTGAGATTCCATCCCTTCGGATCGTTGCAGAAGCTAAAATTGATAATGTTGAGTGGGTCAAAACTGGCTAGAGCAGCTGAGTTTGATTGATGAGAAAAGATTGGTAGTGGTGTGTCATGGTCAATTGTATCAGAAGAGAATGACAAGAGCATACAACAAGAAGGTATGTCCCCGAAAATTTGAAGTGGGCCAGCTAGTATTGAAGCGCATCCTTCCACATCAGACTGAAGATAAAGGCAAGTTCGCCCCAAACTGGCAGAGGCCATTCATTGTGAAAAGAGTGTTGCCCAATGGTGCTTTGTATTTAGCAGACATAGAAGGCAGATGTGTAGATATTGCTATCAATTCTGATGCAGTCAAGAGATATTATGTATGATTTTTTTGCTTATCTTCATTTGCATTTTTGTATTTGGCATGTTCAAAGTTGGAATGACAAAGGCATTTTATTCTGCTATCCAAATACTTTTATCCTTTGTTACCCCTTTTAAGCCTTGTTTGTTTTCTTTCATACCCCTCTTTTGGAATCAGAAGTAGAGTTAGAAAAGAAAAGAAAAGGAAAAAAGAAAAAAAAAGAAAAAAGAAGAAAAAGAAAAAAAAAGAAAAAGAAAAGAAAAATAAAAGAACAAAACAAAATGAATTGTAGTTGGAACTATGTTCGACCTGATTCCTTTTAAGGATACGTATGCATCCTTACTCTGAGGTTCGATCCCACCAAAATAAAAATCCAAAATTCTCCAGACTTAAAGAAACTAGGGCAGAAGTTTTAGTTTTGCTAAAGATCTGATTCCAAAAGTTGTAATTTTGAACCCTTTCGTCTTAAGTTGTTTCAAGCCTTCATGCCACCCTTTCTTTCTAACCCTGTCCAAAAGCCTACAATACGGTCCAAAGAAAGACTTTCCGATCAATCTTTAAGGATGCTAAGTCAAGCGAGATACAGGTATGATTTACATCATGGGTAACACTTTGTTCATAGGCACAAGGAAAAATGAATAAAATGAGAGAGTCTTATTGGTGAAAACTCTCACGGGCACCGTAAGGCGATGGTGAGTCGAGAGAAAAATTAAAATGAGAGAGTCTTATTAGTGAAAACCCTCATGGGCACCGTAAGGCAATGATGAGTTGAGATATGAACAAATGAGAGAGGCTTGATGGGTGAAAACTCTTCAGAGCACTACAAGTCGAATGAGGATCATGGACTTTACAGAGAAGTTAGATCATGAGGCCCGGTTTTGAAGTATGAAGACATGACACGAACTGAAAGTGTGATTGGTTGGACGAATCAGGCTGATCAATCTGAAATACATGTCATGATCATTGGAGCCAGCTGCTTCACTCAGATAAGTCTCTTTTCCACTCTTTTTCAAATAGTCATCTCTGTTTGAAATTTTCCTTTTTTATTCCTAATTCTCAAAGTCACTTCGCTTTGTTCTTTTGGTTCTATTTTTCTAATTCTCTTTGAAGTTAGTCTTTGTTAAACAAGCAAGAAAGGATTTCAAAGCCTACTACCAGCTTTTTAATTGCACAAAGCAAAGTTCGGCCAAGCACATTGTAAGTGACAGGATTCAGAAGGAGCAATGTGATGATAACTAAAGTTCAGGTAATCAAGTATTTCTTGAATTTTGAGAAAATACAAAGGCTCGATAACTGTCAGAATGAAAACACAATGCAACAAGTGAATGTAGGAGATTCGGGTCATTTAGAGGTTTTTGTTGTCGAGGTTCGATCAGAAAGTCAAACAATTCCTTGTTAGCCCGAAGCAACTGATCAGAATGAAGCATGACAGTGGCAGAAGCAGACACCTTCAGCAACGACGCCACAAACTAACCACCATGGTTTCAAACTAACAAGATTTTCTTTGTTTCAAACAAGGGCAAGAAATTTAGTTCGTTCTGCAGGGATTCTCCATGAGGAAAGCATGTTTCAGGTAAGTTCATTTTTGACTCTTCAGGACCCTTCTGGATAATGGAATTTAGTTTTAAGTTTTCAGAACCCCCTTGGATAAAGGGATTTAGTTTTAGGTTTTCAGGACCCTCCTGGATAATGGGATTTAGTTTTAAGTTTTCAGGACCCTCCTGGATAATAGGATTTAGTTTTAAGTTTCAGGACCCTCCTGGATAATGGGATTTAGTTTTAAGTTTTCAGGACCCTCCTGGATAATAGGATTTAGTTTTAAGTTTCAGGACCCTCCTGGATAATGGGATTTAGTTTTAAGTTTTCAGGACCCTCCTGGATTCATTGGCTTTAGTTTTCAAATTTTCAGGATCTCCTGGATAGTGGGATTTAGTTTTAGCTTTTCAGGACCCTCCTGGGTAATGGGAATTTAGTTTTAGATTTTCAGGACCCTCCTGGATAATAGGATCTAACTAACACCCACAAATGTTCCTGGTACAAACTGGGGCAGAAAGTTTTCTTTGTTTTGTCTGTTTTGTTATCATCACATGTACCCACCTGGAGAATGAGAGAATTCATTTCAAAGTTGATTTCAAGTTAGTAGCATGCGCCCACTTGGAGAACGAGGAAATTCATTTTAGAGTTTATTTTGAGTTTTAGCATTAGTAGCACGCGCCCACTTGGAGAACGAGGGCATTTATTTTAGAGTTTATTTCAAGTTTCAAGGTTCAAGTCAGTAGTCAGGCTCCCACCTGGAGAATGGGGGTATTCAGTTTATAAATTGGTTTCAAGCTCAAGTCTACTTCAAGTTCAAGTTTATTACAAGTCCAAACAGAAGGAGTCCGCCTGAAGAATAGGGTCAATCTTCAATTTTCAAGTTCAAGTCAGAAGCATCAGGAGCCCCCCCTAAAGAATAGGGTCAATTCAAGTTGGAAGTAGCAAAAGCTCGCCTTAAGAATGCGAGTCAATATTTCGAGATGCACAACAAGACCAAAAGAAGATTAAAGATAGAAGAGTAGATAGGATTTTATAGTTTTTTTGTAATTCTTATTTTATTTTAGATGTAATGACAGGAACCGCGGACCGGAACCTCGACGGCACTTCACTTGACTCTCCACCTCGATATCCTTCTCTATCTTTCCTTCTTCTGAACTACACATGACTTAATTCCTTTATAGCCAAGGATATGTAGGCAGCTTAGATACCAGGGCTCGGTTACACTCTTTTATCCATCTTTATTTTCTTTTGAATAAGTGTTGGTTCAGAATTCAATTACGTTGCTTACTTAATTCTTTGCTCAAAAACTCTTCGAGTTTCAGAGCAAAGAGGGGCAGCTGTAAGCACGTAAATTTTGACCCGCACGATTTTTAGAAATTAGTATTTGAAAATATTTACTTATTTTATTTTGATAGGATTTTAGTCTATTTTTAATTTTAGCTTTAAAAAACTAAAATTTCGAAAATACAAAAATAATTTCATCTTTATGTTATTTTATATAATTTAGTATCATTATTATTGTTTTAGTTTTCTTAAGGTTTAACATATTTTCTCTATCACTACTTTTAGTATGTTTTTATATAAAAATACCAAAAAATATTCTTATATTATAATATCTGTTACCTTAATATATAGTTTGGTAGAATTTTGCAATTAGAAATATCTTATTTAATTAGCATGAATTAGTAATAGTAGTATTTTATTTTTTAGGAAAAAGCAAGTCAATTTTAGACATTTTCTTGGTTCTTAGTCGAAAATAGTCCATCTTCAGCCCAAAACACTTGAGCTCTATAGCCAAAATTCCACAATTCTCTCCAGCCCAAATCCGCGACCCGCCAGGCAGCCAACCTGCCCCAAAACCCATTAACCCATCAGACCCTTCATTTAATCCTAGCCACTGATTGGATTTAATCCAATGGCCACAATCAATTCCCACACCCCATATAAAAGGCTCATTATAACAAAGCCCTAACCCTAAATAACAACAAACCAGCCGCACCACTCCATCTATTCCCCCTTTCACCGCCGCCTATCACCCAATCCCGCCCAAACTCGGACGAGTTCACCCGAACCCACTCGCCCATGGTCCCCCTCTCATTCTCCACGTCACCCAAACCCTAACAAACTCTGACACAAGAATATTCCATCCCTTCTCTCACGCGTTTCTTTGATTTTGAGGATCAAATTCGGATAAATGGAGACCGTTGATTGATTTACAATCAATCCTCGCATTCCATCTGTCCCGAATTGGTTCTAGAGAGTGATTTCCAGAATTTCAGATTTTTTAGGGAGTTTGTTTTTGGATTTTCTTGGGGGAAAAGTATGGAAGCTTCTAGGTTCCCTATATAAAGGGTTCATTTTAGGATTTTTAGGGGATTTGTGGGGAGAAAATATTTGGATAAAAAAAGAAGAAAGGGTTCTAGGGTTTTGAGAAATTCCATCTTCTTCAATTTTCCTTTCCGATCTATCTGTTTATTTAGATTTCAAAATCAGAAAAAAAAAATACAAAAAAATATACTTCTGTTTCTTCATTTCAATTTCGGAAATTTGGTTTTGAAAATGGAGTCAAGCTGAAGTGGGTGTCCGATTTGGAGTTTCCGTTCGAGATTGGTCCATGGATTCCTGTTGATTATTCTGGTTGATGTTCTAGTTTCGACGTTGGATTTTCCTGTAATTGCTGCTTCCGAACAGAAAATATATTGAGGAAAGCTACTTAAAGGTCCCTCTCTTCTCTGTTCTTACTTATGTGCTTGCTTATACGTTGAATGATCTAAGAGCAAGATAAGTGCTCAGATGTGATTAGTTGTTAAATTACGGTAGTCTTGAAAGCTCTTAAACCAAAGGTATTAGAATTTCTATTCTTATATGCATATATTATTTTACAGTTCTTATACTACTTTGTAGTAGTATATTTTGAAAGTTTAATTTCTTTTGTTGGCATTCTTCCTTTTTAGTAGTATATCAGTAGGTTATTTCCAACATGATTTGAAGTTCTTTTTTGGTCGTCACTTTATGGAAAGAGGATTTAATCTTGTAGATGTACTTTTGGTTCATATTGGCAGTAGTCTTTCCTTTAGATTTTTGGATTTTTTTTAGTTAGTTATTGAGATGGTTTGAAAAACTCCTTTAGTCTTTGCATTCTTACTGTTTAGTTTTTCGTTTTTATTATTTTTCTTTCTCTTTTCCCTCATTTTGGAGTATTTAAAAGTCAATGTCCTCCTTTAGGTGTTACGTTTTCAATCATCACTGTGTTCAATTAGTTTTCTCTATAGTAAGTTAATTTAAGTGTTAGAGTAATACAATTAATAGTCACAGATGGGCCTTTATCTTGCTTTAGTCATTTCTTTTGTTACTTATTATTTAGTTCACTTATATGATGGACTGATTCTGTGTGCTTGATGGTTTCCGAGAAATTGCAAACAAGAGAAAATTATGAACAAAGAGTGAAAATTGCTTGAATTGGGCCGTGGGGTGATGTTAAATATGAAAAATCAGACCGTGAATGTTTAATTGTTTTGCTTTCATTGTTTTCTTAACGTTAGGAGCATACTTAGGCCGTCAACACTAGGGTAGGCAAAATTTAGGTATTGTCTTTATTTCATTCGAGGTGAGAGGTCATCCCCTTTAGTTTATTTCAGGGGAATGCCCTGCAAATTTTGTATATATTTTTATTTGGGGTTTGCCCTGTAGTGAATGTAATTGGAGGCCGTGACGGACATCTTGGATGAGCATAGTATAGACTTTTAGTATTTTCCTCTTGTTTTATTTTTCTTTTATTTAGGTGGGAACAACCTCGAGCCTCTTGTGTGTTTATTTTTCTTTCGTGTGTTTTTGCCTCAGTTTGAGTATTCTTTAAAGCCAATTAGATCAAATATGTAACCGTGACCTTCACGGGACTCGGGGAATGCCTAACACCTTCTCCCCGAGTCAAATGAACTCCCTTACTCAGAATCTCTGGTGCAGTCAGTTTTAGAGTCAAATGTGTTTTGAAGAAAAATTATTTTTTAAAAAAAATGGTGACATGGCACACCGAATCCTTTTGAGCTTTAAAAATTACTTTTTATCCATTTTAAAGAGGGTTAAGGTGAAAAAAGTGGTGTGTCAAGATCAATAACTAACTTTTCCGCCATTTTTTTCACCACAACAAATATTGTTGGTAAATATGCTAATTTTTTGCAACAATAATTTTTGTTGTTAAATGTTCTCATAAGTCATAAGCCACATTTACATGACTTGTTACCAATAAAATATACTTTAAGGCAACAATAATTTTTGTTGCTTGTTGGTTGTTGCGAATACTGCGTGCAACAACATTTTTGTTGTTGCCAAAACTACTTTTAGCAACAACATTTGATTTATGGCAAATCAAATGCCTTCTTTCTTGTAGTGACGCACTTTTCAACCTTTATCAGGGTTTAATTTGTTGGTGGGGCATTTTACGTGGGGGTAAGTGGGTCGGTTCATGGGTCGGTTAGCATGGATCCGAGTAAATAAAATTTAGGATAGGTCACTTTAATCCCTAGGTGCCATGACATCTGATTGCGTCTCCAACTTTATGATCTTTCTTCAGCAGTGAAAAAAAAAAATTCCCGAGGTGCCACATATTATTCCATCCAAATTATGGTATTTTTGAATCAAACTGTAAGGTAGGGGCTCAAACAAACAGATAAAATTGAGTAAAACAACTTAGGACATAACTAAAGAGGAAAAACACATCAACACTAGCACGTATCTTTCTCCCACATGCAATGATTTGTTAATTCTAAAAGAAAAGAGTTAGACTTCCTCCGGCAAATACAAAGTGAGCCGAATTCAGTGCAAATTGCGTAAAACAAAAAATAGCAACATTATTTTTAGTTCTACAATGATGAAATTAAATTCCCTAATGAAGTTGCGTTTTATTTCTAAAGATATCATCTAGGTTCAAAACGCATTATATACTGTAGTACTATTTTACAAGTGACTAATTGACTGTCATACCTTAGGCATTGAAGTGATGGATGTTTCAAAAGGAAGCATAGATCTGCATCTGAGTCAAAATGTGCTCAAAGTTATCTGTGGACTTCTCAATGGGATGTGAATGCATGCCTTCGTAAGTAGTTACTACTACTCCTTCATCCTTTGACAGCCTTTGTACTTGTTTCTTCACGTTACATCCTTGATGCGTGCATCGGTAGTAGCTTCTGAGATGAGCAGCACAAGCAATAATTAGAGATAATTTAAAGAAGGAATTTCCGTACATTCTCTTCGAATTGAAACTGGTATTCTCACTATGACAAAATGGTTTTTGTTTTTGTTTCTATTTCGATTCCGGAGAACCGAATAAATTGATATTAGGCTAATATTTCTCTCAAAATGATTTCTCTTTTATTAGTTTCCCATTATTAAATTTATTGATATTTTATCAACATGCTTAAACGTAAAAAAAATAAATTATTTTATGTTCTTTCTGAAGGCCGTTTAATTAATCCTCGATATAGTAAATAACGGATAAATAAGTAGAAAAGAAGGATATAAATATTTAAATAATCAAGTTCCATTCACTCAAATCAGAGGCGTACCTACTTTAGGGTTAGGGGGTCATGGGTACCCATTAGCCTCGGAAAAAATACTGTAAATATATTTTATATGTATTTGTATGTACATTGGAGAGTCATTACCTCCCTGGACGCTAATGCAGCAAAGAGTGTGAGTGCACTCTCTTTTAAGCGCGTGGGAGTGAAGAAAAATTAAAAAATCATCTTACAAGTAGGTTATTTTTTAACTTTTAATTGCATATAGTCATATATAATGATTTATTTGTTACAACTATGTATTTCTTCTTGTTTCATCTTAACATATAATATGGACTTTACTCTAACTTTTATTCTTTTTAATTTCTTCTATAGATATAATGTCTATTTGTTCCAACTGCATATTTTTTTTGGGGGGCCAAATTTGTAAAAGTTTGCTTGGAACTCCATCATTTTAGCCAAATAAAATATTTTTAGCAAAAATAATAGAGTACTAGTTGTGTATTTTCTGTTATTTGTTTTCTTTAGATATAATATCTATTTGTTTTAATTTTGTATGTATATTTTTGAGTCAAATCAGTAAAAAAAAATGGCTACAACTCCATTATTTTTACCAAATAAAAAAGGTATAGCGAAAATAATAAACTTGCAATTGTACACTCTTTTTATTTCTTCTTTTGATGCAATGACTATTTATTTCAACTGTGTATTTTTACTTTTTCTGGTAATATTTGTAAAAAAATAATATTTTTAGAGCTCCATAATTTAGAGCTATATAAAAAATTACAGTCAAAATAATAAAAATCAAACTATGTATTTTTATATCTTTTTAGATGCCTTGACTATTTAATTCAATTGTATAAATCTTTACTTTCAGGTTTAATTCAAAAACAATAATTACGACTTTATTATTTTTAGCCAAATAAAAAATAATTAGCCTAAATAATGTAGTTCTAACCAAGTTTCATTATAAATATTATTAGAAAAGGATTATCGAAAAAAGTAACACACTTGAAAAGGTATAAAAAATATTTTATTTTTCAAAAAATACCACATGGACAGGAAAATCCACGTGGCAGGTGAGTGCATGCCACTTTTCTAGGATGAGATCGTCTAAGGGGGTAATAGCTATTGAATAACCAAGTATAGGGGGTAATTAATAACGCGGATAGTTCAAGAATGTAATCAATAATACGTGCCAAATTTAGAAGGTTTTTAAGGTATTTTATTTTTTTAATTCTTTAATACTTGTGCACAATAGTCAACCTATAGTTTTAACCCTTTTAAAGCTCAAAAACAAAAGTAATCCTTCTGACTCTCACCTATCTTTTTCAAACAAAAGTAAAATCCTCTACTAACCCCTCCTGCTCAAAAATAGAAAATAAAAAAAACTTTTTAAACTATTGTTTTAACTTTATTCAGCGTTTGCTCGAGCTCGACTCCGACCGTCCGAATTGGCAATGACTACTAAGTTTGAGACTCTTCTTCAGTTGAAACAGTAAGTTTATTTGAGTAAATTTTAATTTTCTTTGAGTAATTTTTTTTCTTTTGAAAATATTAACATAGCAAAATAATTTGATATCAAACTTTTGCTTTCTGCAAAGAGTTTTAAAGCCAAAAAGAGAATTTAAAGTTTATATTTTGTTGATAAATTATCATACTCATTATGTTTTTATAGAGTTACACGTCAAATTTTATCACTAGTAATTGGCATGCTTACAATGATGCCCCGTCATGCTCAAATCTTGGTCAACCTCGACTCAAATGGTTTTTCTCTCTCTTTGACAGCTATAACGAGTTCGTATTCTTTCCACTGCTTGAAAGAAGCTGCCATCTTGACACTTAGCAGAATTTGGATTAATTAGTTCCACCTTACTTTTCCCATATCTAAGTCCTTAGGTAGTTGAAATTGGTACTCCTGGGGAAATAATAGCAAATTATCGATTTAAATTAGTGAACTTTTTGCTTTTTTCTCTTTTTTTTTTTCCTTCTCTTTAGACTTATGTGCTGCTCCCTTTTATTGTTTGAATTACTGTATCTTATCTGAAGGATATCAGTAGGACATTACTCATGGATGTTACTTTATCTATGATCGACCTAGTCAGATCAGTTTCGTAGTAGTAGTTAAATATGAATTGACTCCCAGCTGTATCATGGTTAAGTGAGAGAGTCCAATTTATTACATTTCCTAGAATTTCTTATCATTTCATTTTTCATGTTTCCACACCAAAACTTTCAGTATCCATACTTTTGATCACAATATAATACTCATTGAAATGTATACCAATAGTTAAATTTGGGTTCAACTAGTCCTACCAAACCTCGGTGCTTCCGGATCAATCCTTAAACGTCAATCTCTTATTTGTGATCAAAGGGCTAATTGAGTTACTTTGCACGTTTTGATTTTTAATTTATCCACTATTTAACGTAAAATAAGTAATTTTCCTAGGCATGTGAAGCTCCACAATTATAGTGGTGCAATAGTTATTGTTAAAAAGTAGAAACCAATCAGCAAACAAAGAGCACTTCTAAACCTTAATGTATAGGTCTATTTGAGTCGGGTCACAACATTTTTTTGTGAATATCATAAAACTAATTTTAATTAATCTTGACTAGGTTGCTGTGAAAATTTTTAGGTGTATGGAAATTGACTTGAGAAATACGCCTAAATGCTTAACAAAAAGATAAATTTCCCTTCCTAGTTGAAAATACTTTGTTACCTTTTGATCCCTGAATACGGTTAAAACCAGGCCCATCCGATTTTACTGTTTGACCGAGACCGGGAGTTTGCATCGAAGGACGGTCTCGTAACGGAATAGGCCATATCACGAGGATAAGGTACCGAGCTCAGAACCGAGGTACCTGTCGAGATCGAGGCTAGTAGTGATCGAAGCCAAATGAGACAGACATCGAACAAGATCGAAGATAGCATAATAACAGAAAGACAAAATATCCGTGGCTGGCCGAGGATCATGGCATAAATCTCGGTAACTGGTCGAGGATCATGGCGTAAATCTCGAAACGGATCAAATCAGAAACGGTTAATTAGCCAATCATGAGGTTTCTTTCTATAATTAGAATTGTACCATAAGTGAAACTTCTCTATTATATAAAGCGGGGTTCTAATCATTTGTAGGGCACGTTTTGACAGACACAAAAAGCAATATAATTCTCTTTATTGTTCTCACCATTGTTATTCAGCTTGTTATACTTTCATAGTTCTTGCATCAACCAGTTAAAGGGTGTCCAAACTCAAGGGCTGAGTTTCATTCTAACACTGGTTTGCTTTACTTTATTAATAATTTTTATTACTCATTCTCAAATTTATCAATTAGTATTAGGTGAAATCATGTGTCCTTAGAACCATATTATAAGTTTAATTATTATCCAATTTTAAGGGTAAATAGTTTGGCGCCCACCGTGGGGCTAAGGATAATAGTGATTGCTTATACTAATTTCAATAACATACACTACTTTACACTTGTTCTCGTAAGAATCTTTATTTTCAGGACAAACATGTCAAACTCACAAGCAGCACCTACACATGGTGACAACAGCCTTGGACTTCACGGGGAAAACGACAACATAGCCGCCCCAGGAATCGAGGTGCCTCAGGCCGACCTCGAGGGAGCACCAATTGCAAATCCCGTCGATGTCAGTTCACATGTCGCCCTAAATGCAAATTTGGGCATTGAGCCCGAAAGTAGTATACACAGGGAAGTTCGATCAAGTGGTCGAGGTATACAGGGCGGAGAAGATGGTGGAGTTAGCCTTCAATTGATATTCAAAATGTTACAGGCTCAACAGGCCGCTATAGCACAACTACAAAATCAACACCGAAAACCGAGTAGGATCGAACCAGAAGTTGTTCAAAGGACCGAGCCTGTGCCGGAAAGGTCGAATTCCAACGAATGTTGGAATTCGGGGACTGACCCCACCATTATGAAAATGTTTGAGGAGCTCACTAAATGAATTGAATCAGGAGAAAAGAAAATCGAGGCAAATAACAAGAAAGTATAGACATATAACTCCCGCGTTGACCAAATACCGGGGGCGCCACCGATTTTAAAAGGTATGGATTCAAAGAAATTTGTACAGAAGCCTTTCCCTTCGAGTGCAGCACCGAAACCCATTCTGAAGAAATTTCGAGTGCCAGAAATTCCTAAGTACAACGGGACCACTGACCCTAATGAGCATGTCACTTCTTATACATGTGCAATAAAGGGAAATGACTTAGAAGACGATGAGATTGAATCTGTTCTACTGAAGAAATTTGGAGAAACCTTGTCAAAAGGAGCAATGATATAGTACCATAATTTGCCGCCTAATTCCATCGATTCTTTCGCCATGCTTGCAGACTCCTTCGTAAAGGCACATGCCGGAGCAATAAAGGTCGCGACTAGAAAATCGGACTTCTTCAAGGTTAAACAAAAAGACAACAAAATGTTGAGAGAATTCGTATCTCGGTTTCAGATGGAACGCATGGAACTACCACCATGTCACAGACGATTGGGCTGTTCAGGCCTTTACTCAAGGTTTGAACGAACGAAGTTTGGTGGCATCACGACAACTAAAGTAGAATTTAATTGAATATCCAGCGGTAACCTGGGCCGATGTACATAATCGGTACCAGTCGAAGATCAAGGTCGAGGATGATCAATTTGGGACCCCTTCCGATTCCGCTTATCCAAACAGGCCAGTTGGCAGTACTCAAGGGGATATCGACAGAGAACCCCGGTCGAGCAGAGATCGGTATCTACCATACAACGCAGATCGTAGAAACAGTGGCCCAGGACGCAATCCCATCCAAAATGATCGAAGGAATGATCGAAGACAGATCTCTCGAGTGCTCATGAGCAAAAGTGGCTTCGATAAACATGCAAATCCCACAGAAGTGCCACAATTGTCAGAATACAACTTAAGCATCGATACATCAGGTATTGTGTGAGCCATTGGGAGAATCAAAGATACTAGATGGCCCAGACCCCTACAAACCGATCCATCCCAAAGGAACCCCAATCAAATATGCAAATACCATGGTACACATGGTCATAAAACTGAAGACTGCAGACAACTAAGGGAGGAGGTGGCCCGTCTATTCAACGAGGGTGACCTTCGAGAAAACTTGAGCGACCGCGCTAAAAACCATTTCAGAGACAGAGACGCAAATAGGAAGAGCGAGCAGGAAGAACCATAACATGTGATTCACATGATCGTTGGTGGGGTTGATATTCCACAAGGGCCCGTGTTCAAACACACTAAAGTGTCAATCACCAGAGAAAAACGAACTCGAGACTATGTGCCAGAAGGCGCTTTATCATTCAATGATGAGGAAGCAGAAGGGATTTCACAACCCCACAATGACGCTTTGGTAATCTCTATCCTTATGAATAAAATTCAGGTTAAATGTGTTTTAATTGATCCGGGAAGTTTGGCCAATATTATTCGATCGAGGGTCGTAGAGCAGCTCGGCCTACAAGATCAGATCATACCCGCAACTCGAATTCTCAATGGCTTTAACATGGCAAGTGAAACAACTAAAGGTGAAATCATCCTACCAGTAAATGTAGCCAGAATTATTCAGAAAATAAAGTTCCATGTGATCGAAGGCGATATGAGATACAACGCACTACTCGGAAGACCCTGGATTCACAATATGAGGGCGGTCCCCTCAACCCTTCACCAAATGCTGAAGTTCCCAGCACCGGATGGAGTAAAAATGGTGTATGGGGAATAACATGCTGCCAAAGAGATGTTCGCGATCGACGAAGTGATACCAGTATCGACATTTACGTCAACAAAAGGATCGGAGTCCAAAGGAAAACATGGAGCTAAATAACAACCACAACTACCAGCCTCGACTCAATCGGAGAAGTAGGGAATGGACGAGGACGGTAATTATTGGATCCCTCGATCCTTCATAATCCCCGAAGATTCTGACGCCACTAAATTAACGGTCGAGGAGCTGGAGCAAGTCATACTGATCGAGCATCTACCCGATCGAAAGGTATACCTGGGTACGGGGTTAACCCCCGAGCTCAGGGAAAAACTCATTAAATTTCTTATCGATAATATGGATTGTTTTGCTTGGTCCCATTTAGATATGACAGGGATCCCGCCGGAAATTGCTACACATCGACTAAGCTTGGACCCAAATTTCCGCCCGGTAAAATAAAAGAGAAGACTCCAGTCCAAGGTAAAACATGCATTCATCAAGGACGAGGTAACCAAACTTCTCAAAATAGGGTACATTCGGGAGGTAAAATATCCCGAATGGTTAGCAAACGTAGTCGCAGTCCCTAAAAAGGGAAATAAACTTAGGATGTGCGTAGACTATAAAGATTTAAACAAAGCATGTCCTAAAGACTCTTTTCCTCTGCCGAATATCGATCGCATGATCGATGCCATGGCCGGCCACGAGATCCTTAATTTCCTCGATGCCTACTCCCGGTACAATCAAATACAAATGAACCCGGAGGACCAGGAAAAGACTTCGTTCATCACTAAGTACGACACCTATTGTTATAATGTAATGCCGTTTGGACTAAAAAATGTTGGTGCCACCTATCAACGCTTAGTAAATTGAATGTTCGAAGAACAAATAGGTAAGTCAATGGAAGTTTATATTGACGATATGCTAGTTAAGTCCCTGCAAGCAGAGGACCATTTGACACATTTTCATGAGACCTTCGATATACTAAGGAAATACAACATGAAATTCAACCCGGAGAAATGTGCATTCGGGGTCGGCTCGGGCATATTCCTCAGCTTTATAATATCAAATTGGGGTATCGAAATCAACCCTCATAAGATCAAGGCGATCGAAGACATCATAGTCGTGGATAATATTAAGGTCGTACAAAGATTAACAGGGCGCATAGCCGCCCTAGGCCGATTCATCTCGAGGTCTTCAGATAGAAGTCACCGGTTCTTCTCACTGCTCAAAAAGAACAAATTTTTTGCATGGACCCCGGAATGCCACCAAGCATTGGAAGAACTTAAGCGGTACCTTTCAAGCCCGACACTGCTTCATACTCCGAAAGCGGACGAGCAACTATACTTGTACTTAGCAGTCTCAAAAATTACGGTAAATGGGGTCCTAGTTCGAGAAGAGCAAGGTACGAAATTTCCTGTTTATTATGTTAGTCGAACTCTAGGTGAGGTCGAGATCCAGTACCCACACTTAGAAAAATTAGCATTTGCCTTAATAAGCGCTTCTAGGAAATTAAAACCATATTTTCAGTGTCACCCGATCTGTGTGGTGACTACTTATCCCCTTCGCAATATTTTGCATAAACCCGAACTTTCGGGCCGATTGGCCAAATAGGCCATAGAGATCAGTGGGTACGATATCGAGTATCGACCCCAAACGGCCATCAAGTCTCAAATCTTAGCGGACTCAAATCTTAGCAGACTTCGTGGCCGACTTTACGCCCGCCCTCGTACCTGAGGTCGAAAAGGAACTGTTATTAAAATCAAGTACATCATCAGGGGTGTGGACCCTCTTCACAGACGACACTTCGAAGGTGAAGGGGTCTAGGCTAGGCATCGTTTTGAAGCCACACACGGGTAATACAATTAGACAATCTATCAGAGCTTCCAAGTTAACTAACAATGAGGTCGAGTATGAGGCCATGATTGCAGGTCTTGAGCTAGCTAAAGGTTTGGGAGCAGAAGTTATCGAAGCCAAATGTGACTCCCTGCTCATGGTAAATCAAGTCAACAGAACTTTCGAGGTCCTAGAAGATCGAATGCAGAGGTACTTGGATAAATTACAGGTGACTCTACATCGGTTTAACAAATGGACCTTATAACATGTACCTCGAGAACAAAATAGCGAGGTCGATGCCCTTGCAAATTTGGGGTCATCAGTCGAAGACGGCGAGATTAACTCGGAGACTGTCGTACAACTTTCAAGGTCAGTAATCGAAGAAGATCACGCCGAAATCAACTCCACAAGTCTGACCTGGGATTGGAGGAACAAATATATCGAGTACCTAAAGAACGGGAAGCTTCCATCGGATCCTAAAAAATCAAGGACTCTACGTACGAAGGCTGCACGATTCACATTGGCCGAAGATGGAATACTATATAGAAGGATGTTCGATGGACTATTGGCGATATGTTTGAGACCAGGAGATACCGACTACGTTCTACGAGAAATCCATGAGGGCACATGCAAAAATCATTCTGGTGTCGAATCATTAGTTCACAAATTCATCAGATTATGATACTATTGGGCCGATATGGAAAAGGATACAAAAGCGTTTGTTCGAAAGTGTGACAAATGTCAAAGGTATGCGCCGATGATTCATCAGCCCAGAGAACAACTCCACTCAGTCTTATCCCTATGGCCATTCATAAAGTGGGGAATGGATATTGTCGGCCCTCTTCCATCGGCCCCAGGTAAAGCTAAATTTATTTTGTTTATGACTGACTATTTCTCTAAGTCAGTTGAAGCACAGGCTTTCGAGAAAATTAGAGAGAAAGAAGTCATAGACTTCATCTGGGATCACATTATATGCCGATTCGGGATGCCTGCCGAGATCGTATGCGACAATGGAAAGCAATTCGTCGGCAGCAAAAAAACAAAATTTCTCGAAGATCACAAAATAAAGAGGATCCTATCAACGCCGTATCATCCTAGTGGGAACGGACAGGCCGAATCAACAAACAAAACCATCATTCAAAATCTAAAGAAAAGATTGAGCGACACTAAGGGAAAATGGAGAGAAATATTGCCCGAAGTCCTTTGGGCGTATCGAACGACGTCAAAATCCAGTACGGGGGCAACACCATTTTCTTTAGTATATGGAGCTGAAGCTCTGATCCCGGTTGAAGTCGAGGAACCCAACGTCAGGTTTCGATATATAACGGAAGAGTCAAATCACGAGGCTATGAATACAAGCCTCGAATTTCTAGATGAAAAATAGGAAGCTGCCCTTGTTCGAATTGCCGCACAGAAACAACAGATCGAAAAGTACTACAATCGAAGAGCCAATCTTTGACACTTCAAAATCGAGGACTTGGTTCTGAGGAAGGTCACCCTCAATACTCGAGACCCAAACAAAGGAAAACTTGGCCCGAACTGGGAGGGACCATACCAGGTCCTCGATATCATCGGAAAAGGATCCTACAAACTTGGCATGGTAAACGACGAACAATTACCAAACAATTGGAACATATCACTCCTCAAACGATATTACTGCTAAGGTACGGCCTTCTCCATTTTCATTTATATTTTATACTAACCATTTGCAGGTGTTTAATCAAAGACATCAAGGATTATTCAAACGCGGAGTCCTTAGGTCTGAAAGCACGCGTTGTACTCTTTTTCCCTTAGACCAATTTTTGTCCCAATTGGGTTTTTCTGGCGAGGTTTTTAACGAGGCAACCATTTTTCGTGCTAACTTAGAGAAATTCGACAATATCCGAGGCTCCTTTACAATCAACCTCGAATACTGGGGGGGGGCATTACCCTCGGATAGTTACAAGGAAAATACTTCGTGCCGACAAGGTCTCGATAGGTAAATTTTGTAGAGGACCAAACGGTCAAATGAACCAGTCCATGTAGATTACTCGAACCCTAATGGCAAAACATGTACGCATGTATAATCTAATGAAAGAAGTATTTTTCTTTACCAGATGTTCCATGCCTTAGAAAAATTTATACTTTAAAATTTCATATTTATGATCTATTGTGGAAACTAGCTTAAGGGCTGAGCACAACTGAAGTTCAAACAATTTACCCAATACTTGGGGACTGCCGTCCAAAACATCGACATGATCGAATTACTAAACCTCGAAATCGTAAGACCTTAAAAAGGCAATCCTCGATTTTATAGGCCACAGCCACCCCACTCGGGGACTGATACTTCGAACAAGTTCGAAGTATAACAGGGGAACAAGCCCAAAAGGCAAATCCCAAGTTAAAGGCTACGGCCAAATTAACACGGTTCGGAGACGTCCGATTTTCGTTATTAAACATACCTTCTAATATTTTCACAAACCGGTTAAAAAAGATACCATCGGCTACATTTCTAAGTGTCTCGATAATATCGACCCTCAAAAACCCTAATGGGTACAAAGTCGTTCGAACTCTCGAACAAATTCTTTATTTTATGCTAAGGCATTACGAAACAAAGGGTCTTGATAATATCGACCCTTGAAAATCCTAATGGGTACGAAACCGTTCGAACTCTCGAGCAAATCCTTTATTTTGTGCTAAGGCACAACAAAATTTATATGATTAAACAATAAACTTTTCAAGCCGAAAAAGGGGGAGAAAGCCATTCTTTTTGCTATGGTCGTATCGGCCTAATTTAAGAGCCTAAAGGGCTAGTTTATTTTTGAGAAATCATCCTCACTCAATTAAAACCTAAGGGTCACCCTGATCCGAGTTCGAGCAAGTACTCACTCGATTATAAAAACTATACTAGCTTGGCTTCGATCAAATTGCCTAAGCCTCTAACTTATGAACAAAATTTTCATAAGGCATAAATAAAACAAAATTTTCACAAGGCATAAATAAAACAAAATTTTCACAAGGCATAAATGAAATAAAGACAAGTCGGAAAGGAAAGAGATCTTTATATATATGAGAATATTTACAAGGTCCGATTAGGATCCTATACAAAAGACCAAAAGTGAAAAATCCTAAGGTTCCTGATCTTCTCCGGGGGCAGCTTCTTCTTCATCGAGGTCCTCCCCATTCTCGGACCCGCTCTTGCTGCCATCATCATCATTGGAAGTGGCCAGCGCTCCAGCTTCGGCTTCATTCTCTCCAGCCTTTACTATCTCGTTAGTAAGATCGAAACATCGAGCGTGGATTTCCTCGAGGCTTTCCCTCCGAGATTGGCATCTGGCAAGTTCAGAAATCCAATATGCTCAAGTTTGAGCAGTCTCGGCTGCCTCTCTCGCTTGGACTTAAGCGGCTTCAGCATCAGCCCGGTAGACGACCACGATCGCATCTGCCTCGGCCTTTGCCTTTTCGGCTTCAGATTTGGCCTTGGCAAGTTCAGAAGCCAACCGAGCCTCGAGCTCCTCTATTTTCCTTGCTTGATTCAAGCTCTTCTCCTTCATACCTTGAAGCTGACTTTCGACCGATGATAATTGGGCTCGAGCAGTCTCTTTTTCTACAGCAAAGCGGTCCATACCTTCTTTCCACCCCAAGGACTATGCCTTTATTGTATCTACCTCCTCGCGGAACTGCTCGATCCTCTCGATCTTCTGCTGCAGCTGTGAGATCGAAATATTAGCCACCGTTCGCGAATCGAGCCCATGAGCTTTTAAAATTTTTATTACCTGCTCGATCAGGTCGGTCTGATCTTTGTGAGACGTGGCCAATTCGGCTCGGAGGTCCTTGATCTGTTCTTCTTTTTGCTTTCCGAGAAGATTGAGGGCATTCCTCTCCTAGGTAAGCCTTTGAATGTCGGCCTCGTACCGACTCAGGTCGGCTCGAGACCGATAAAATGCTTCTCGGTGAAGCGCTGAGGCCTACGCAAAAAAAAAAGTTAGACAAAAAGAGAAAAACGAACACAAAGATAATACCAACAAGGGGAGCTAAGGCATACCCGATTCAGAGCTTGCTGTGCTTCGTTGAAAAGGATCGATTCCTCCCCCGAGTCCTTCCTCGAGACTTCCAAATCACTCAAGACGGTAGTATCTTTGACCCCAGTAAAGTAATCACGGAAAGGATCCTCCCTTCCGTGGGCTCCTTCGATGGAGAGGGTCTTCAAGGCCCGAGCCTCTTGAATCATCTCCTCAGAAAATGAGGGGAGCAGCGGCAAGCCTCCAATTTCTATTACCCCAAGTGGATCACTTGGGGCGTTCTCCTTATCTCGAAGGGCCTCGACAACTGTACCCATCGTTGGCTCGGTGTGGTGGGAAGCATCTTCGATCCTCGATGACTTGGGGACTTCGCCCAAGTCTTTTCCCGAGACCCCCTTATCTCGAGACGAAGTCTGCAGCCTTCACCGATTCAGTGGCCTTTGGGGCCTCGGTGCTCATTCCTGCTCGGGCCACCAGCCTGGAGTCGTCTTCTTCCTCTTCTTCCTCCTCCTCCCTTAGATGCCGAACAGACTCTTCGGTCAGGATTCTTAGGTTCTGGATCCTCAAAGGGTGAGGTCTTTTTCCTCTTTTTGTCCTTCGCCGATTTCGGTGCCGGGATCGAAGTCTCCTCCTCACCAGATAGGGGCCTCATAACAACAACTTTGCCAAGGCCTATATGAAAAGAAATTAAGTAAGAAATGCCTGAACAAAACCATCAAATACATGGAAAAGGGGCTTACCATGAGTTTTGACCTCCCATCGGCCCTTTGATAAATCACGCCATGAGCGCTCAGCATACGAAGAGGTCGAAGCTAGGTTCCGAACCCAGCTCTTGAGGTTAGGAATTGCACCGGGCATCCAAGCGACCGCTACATCACGGAACGGGATATCGATGAGAAGAAGCAAATGGGCAAAACAATAAATAAGAACTAACAGTGGGATTATACTTACGCTTCATATTCCATTTCTCAGGAAATGGCATCTTCTCGGTCGGGATTAGGTCAAAAGTCCTCACTCGAACGAACCGGCCCATCCAGCCTCGGTCCTTGTCCTCGTCTATGCTCGAGAATAGCACTTTGGTGGCCCGACGTTGGAGTTTTATTAACCCGCCTCGATAGAAGCGGGGGTTGTATAACCTGATGAGGTGGTCGAGGGTGAAAGGCATCCCCTCGACTTTGCTCACGAAGAATCGGAGCAGAATGATAATTCGCCAAAAAGAAGGATGGATTTGGCCTAGGGTTATTTGATACTGACGACAAAAATCAATGACGACGGGGTCGAGGGGGCCCAGCGTGAAAGGGTAAGTGTAAACACTTAAAAACCCTTCCACATGGGTGGTAATGTCTTCTTTCGGGGTCGGGATCACCACTTCTTTGCCCTTCCAGTTGCAGTCTTTCTTTTACATGCCTAAGGTACCCTTCGGTTATCAAGCATATATACCTCGACACTGGCTCACATCGACCAGGAATCGACGAGGCTTTTTCGGTCTTGAAGTCAGAAGTGAGAACACCCCNTAGTGTTTTGGGAAGATGGTAGCAGTGAAAATCGTAGATTTGCAGATGAAGAAGTTAGAAGGTATAAAAAGCTTTGGAGATTAGAAATCTGAAAGTAAAAGTTCGAAATGGTGGAGAGAGGGACTATTTATAAATTTCACAATGACGGTTCAATATTGGCGGTGGCCAACCATCGACTGACGCGCATTTAATGCCTTGGTAACTGTACAGACGGGACGTTTCAGTCACTTCCGTCGCTTACGTCACAAGGATGACTTCATGATAGGTCGAGATAGAAAATCGAAGGCTCAATTCGTTTCTTGTCATTACACTCTAAAAAATGAGGGGACTATCTATATACGGTAATTAAAACCAGGCCTACCTGATTTTACTATTTGACAGAGACCGGAAGTTTGCATCGAAGGACGATCTCATAACAGAATAGGCCATATCACGAGGATAAGGTACCAAGCTCAGAACCGAGGTACCTGTCGAGATCGAGGCTAGTAGCGATCGAAACTAAATGAGACAGACATCGAACAAGATCGAAGATAGCATAATAACAGAAAGATAAGAAATCTGTTGATGGCCGAGGATCATGGCGTAAATCTCGGTGACTGGTCGAGGATCATGGCGTAAATCTCGGAACGGATCAAATCAGAAACGGTTAATTAGCTAATCATGGGGTTTCTTTTTGTAATTAGAATTGTACCATAAGTGGAACTCCTCTACTATATAAAGGGGGTTCTAATCATTTGTAGAGCACGCTTTGACAGACACAAAAAGTAATATAATTCTCTTTATTGTTTTTACCATTGTTATTCAGCTTGTTATACTTTCATAGTTCTTGCATCAACCAAGGGTGTCCAAACTCAAGGGCTAAGTTTCATTCTAACACTGGTTTGCTTTACTTTATTGTTAATTTCTTTTACTCATCCTCATATTTATCAATTGGTATTAGGTGAAATCATGAGTTCTTAGAACCATATTATAAGTTTAATTGCTATCTAATTTTAAGGGTAAACAATCCCCACCTTCTTTTGTCGGTAAAGTATTACTATGTAGTAGACTAGAGAGTAAGTAAGTAACAAAAAGTTACTAGTAGATAAAAACTGACCTTGGGAATCTGTTGTTCTTGACAGCCTTCTGTCCATATTTCCTCCATCTATAACCATCATCCAGAATATCCACTTGACTCCTTGTTTGAAAAGCATATCTCGGTTTTTTATTCCTCTTCTCACCTTTATTCTTCTTACCCGATTTCATCTCGTTCTGATCATTAGAGTTATACGGAATGCTATTTGTGTGATCAGTAACACCACTGGAGCTTGGAGCTTCCATGCTTGCCATTAGCCCCAAAAACCCGCTCGATTTCTTATTGTCTTGGGTTAATTCAGCTTCTTTTGCATGAGATTTGTTGTTCATCATATTCATTAGTGACAACTGATCAGACGACGAAGAAGAATAATTTGGAAAAATATGTTGATAATTCTCCATCAAGGTAAATGAACTGTGTGATAAATTAAGGGAGGAAGTTGTGAGGAATGAAACTGCGGTGTACGTTGTTTTGAAGGCGAATTTATCATTAAAGAGTTTGGACTAGTGTGGCGGCTAGCTAGGTTCAGCATATTTTATCTTATTGTATTTTTTAATGTCATAAACGACACGTAATAATGTCATCTTTAGTGTAAAATGAAATTAATACCATTTCATTCTTTTAGCATAATCTCTATACGATAGAGGAAGGTAGAACATTCAAAGTATCACGCTGATAGCGGGAGCTACCCTAAAGTTATTCATTACTTTTTGTCTTTGCCTTTTTGATCCTGATCTTTACTTAAATTTCTCTTTTAACGTTTTATATATGTTAATAAAATTTCCAAGTAGCGATTATCAAAATATTTACTCCCTCTGTTTCAATTTAGATGAGGTAGTTTGATTCGTCACGGAGTTTAAGAAAAAAAAAAGATTTTTGAAACTTGTGGTCTTAAAAACTTTATGGGGCCATAACATTTGTGTGATTGTAAAAACTTCTCATTAAGGGTAAATGGATAAAATGAAGAGTTTAAAGTTGAATTATTTCCAATTGTAGAAATGTGTTATTTTTTCTAGTCATATTATAATAAGGAAAGTGCGTCATCTAAATTGAAGTACATGGAGTAATAATTTACAAAATTTTTCCTCTCTTACGGTAATCGATATTTATGATCAAAAGTACAGTATTTTATTTTGAAATATAAAGTGTGAAAGTATAATCTAGTGCACGCTCTCTATTTGGTCACTCAAACGATGAATGTGGCTCCTATCTTTAAAGCTTATGAGGTGATTATTACATTTAGATTCTTCAAACAATTGGCATGTTTGTTGCATGTATATATACATGCATGTATACTGTTACGCGACGCCTTCCTGAAGTTTCTTGGAAGGGCGACGTAAGGCTAAGCAATCGATGTCAGTACGGTTGCTGTCCGCCAACTGAGGTTCCCTCCGTACGCTAGACTAGATTGTCAGTGCCGTACGGAAAAACCAATATCGTGAGCAATTGAAAGAGAGCAGAAAAGAGAATTGAGAATGAAAGAATACTTGATTGCATTGAATGAAAGCTATTACAGAAAATAAGACGGTGTCGGGGGGGAGAGACACCAGTACAGAGAATTGTTTGCTTGCTTGAAAGTTTTGATTGCTTGGTCCCCCTTAATAATGCTTAAAAAAAATAAACCAAAGTTACATGACTAGACCTATGAAAGCTGGAAAATCACACTTAAAGAAAATGCAGCAAAACTACTCTATATTTACAATGAAAAGGACTTAGTCTTCTACAAAGCAGCAGCAAGTCCGTTGGCAGCAACTTTGTCTTTAGCATCAGGGTCTGCGC